TCCTCCTCCTCCTCCTCCTCCTCCTCCTCCGCCTCCTTCTGCACCTCCTCCTCCTCCTCCTCCGCCTCCTCCTCCTCCGCCTCCTCCTCCTCCTCCTCCTCCCTCCTCCTCCTCCTCCTGGGGAGGTCACTCCGGCGAAGGGTCCCTCCCACGCGGACGTAGCCGAGGAGGCGGCGGCCTCCGCGAACTTCTGCGCGGCGCCCACCGGGCGCCCCCCGCGGAGCAGCGCCTCGGCGTGCGCCGCGAGCACGCGGGCGCGCTGCGGCGGGCTCCTCGGAGGGGGCGACGACGACGACGACGACGACGACGACGACGACGACGACGACGACGACGAGGACGATTACACAGTTCGGTCTTAGGGGAGGGGGGAGGCGGGGCAAGGGGGTCGAGAAGCAAGGGGCGCATGGGGGGCGCATGGGGGATCGAGGAGAGTTGGGGGAGCAAGCCAGGAGGAACGAGACGGAAGGAGGAGGAAAGGAGGACAAGAAGGGAGAGGGGAAAGAAAAGAAGGGGATGCGAGGCGGGAATTCATTCATAACCACCGCCTGGGGTATCGAGCTTCGGGGGCCTCGGCAGGTGATGGAAATAGGTACATCCCCCCCAGGGCCCGAATTCGTCCATAGCCAACGCCCGCCGAGGCCCGCAAGACTCGATCCCCCGGCGATGGCGATCGATGATTCCCGACCGGGGATATTGGTGGTGATGATGATGATGATGATGATGATGATGATGATGATGATGATGATGATGCTGTTGCTGCTGGTAGGATAATGTTGATGGATGGTGATGTATATGATGACGAGCGATGATGGTGATGATGTATGAAGATGATGGAGATGATGATGAGAGCTGATTGTGATGTTGAAGATGATGAATGGGGGGTGGTCAAGATGAATGGCGATGGTCATGATGATTAGCGATGTTGGAAATAATGGCTGGGGATGGTGCGAATGGCGGAGGGTGATGATGATGGAGAAGAAGATGAATGATGATGGTGGCGAAAGATGCCCATGCTGAATGAGGAAGATGATGAGTGGGGGTTATGAACAGAGGTGGTGACGAATGATGCGGATGAAGATGAGTCCTGACGAATAAACACTATGTTGATCAGGGATGGCGGTGATGATAAGCGGTGGATGTGAAGGACAACGAAAGTGAACAATGACGAGGTTAGGTGATGTCTATAAAGGAGATGATGGGTGGTGGTGGTGGGTGGTGGTTATGTTGAAGAGTGGTGATGGCGGTGATGCTAAATGATGACTATAGAAACGACTTGTGGTTATGATTGCGGAGGAAGGCGAAGACGATGATGCTGACGACGGCGACTGGTAATGATGATCGGTGGTGGTGTGATGATGGACGGTAATGGTGCTGTAAGATGACGCTGGAAGGTAATGACTGGTAATGGTGACGATGGTAGTAATGCTGATATGTTGCGATGCTGATGGATGATGCCGGTGGCGAAAGATGATGATGCAGAATGGTGGATGGTGATGATGGTGATGATAACTGCTGATGCAGGTAATTGGTGATAGTAAAGATGATGTTGTATGACAGTGATGGTAACGAACAATGGTGCTGCTCCACGGTGGCAGTGGTGAATGATGGTGGCGAACATAGCAACCATTGCGGTAATGAACGATGGCGGTGAATGGTGAAGGTGGTGATTATTCTGGATGTGAAATGGTGATGATGATGACAACGAAACTAAATCATACCTGTGCTGGACGACAGAAATAACCAATGACGATGAGGGGGATGATGACGACTGGTGGACACAATGTATGATGATGACGATGGTGATAGATGGTGGTGGTGATGGTGGTGGATGCCGAAAGCGAAGTGATGGACAATGATGATAATGAATGGCCATGGAAATAACGATGGTGATGATGATGAAGGGTGGTAGTGACGAATGGTGACGGTGGTGAACGATAGCGATGGCAATCATGATGAAGATTAATGGTGACGGTTGTGTATGAGCATCGGCGGTCAATGATGGTGTTGATGAATGATGGTGGTGGTGTGCGATGACGATGGTGGGATGCATGATTAAGATTCTGATGTAAGAAGGTGCTGGCTGATGACGATAATGAGTGGTGGGTATGATGAGTGGTGGTGATGCTGGCACTGGGTGGACGAGGATGACGAACGGTGAATATAAACGAAGATGGGTGGTGATTATTAAGAGTGATGATGAATATGACTGGCATTGCCATGGTGGACGGTGGTGGTGGCAATGGATGGTGAAAACGATGGGTGGCAATGGTAGGTGTATACTGGTCGTGATGATGATGGCGCGAACGGGCGGTGTTGGCGCCTTGATGGTCATGGTAGTGATGATCTTGATGGATGGTCGAGGTGATGATGATGTTGAACGGTGTGGGCGTTTATGCTGCATTGTACTCCCGATGCGCGATGCCAATGATAAGCATGGTGATGCTATACGATGGATGGTGGTGATGATGATGAATGGTGGTACTCCTGGTGGATGATGGTGGCAAATGGCGCATGGTGAACGGTGATGAACGATGCTGGTGATGATGACGGGTGATGTTGGTGATGACGGAAGGTGATGGTGACTATTTGCGAGGGTGGTGGATGATCATTGTGAACACTGGTGGTCATGATATTGACGAACGATGGTAACAATAGGTAAACATAGGTGAAGATGATTGGTGCTGGATCACCACGGTGGTGGAGGATGATGATGGCGATGAACAAAGGTGATGGTAACGATGATAGTGGAAGGTGGTGATTAGAAAGGAAGATGACGGTGATGATGAGGCAGGATATCGGACATTATGTTAATGGTAGGTGATGGTGTTGCAGGATCATGGGTTGTGGTTGCGATGATGAACGATGACGGTGAACGAGGGTGATGCTAGTGGTGATGATGTTTGATGGTGGTGGTTTTGAATTGTGAGCACGCGTGCACACAACGGTGATGACGCATGACTTTAATGGCGAAACTGGAAATGAATGGTGATGGTTATGGATGGCGATGCTGGTGATTGATGGTGACGTTGACTGCTGGGGATGATAAGGTTGTGATCATGCGAGGTGGTAATGATAGCGACTAACGGTTATTATGGTGATCATGACGATGCTACGAAGTATGGCGACGACGGTGATACTATTGAATGGTGGCGATGATGATGAGGTGATGATGATGACGATCACGATGATGATGGTAATAACCGATGGTGGTGAGGGTTACCAGTGATAATGATAATGATGATGAGCAATGGTGGCGGCAAATGGTGATGGCGAGCGGTGAGGATGATGATGATAACGATGGTAATGATGATTATGAATGCTGAAAGATGAGGACGATGAGGACGATGGCAATGATGATGTTGATGATGGGAATGATGATGCTGATGCTGGCGCTGGTGCTGATACTGGTGCTGATGATGGTGATGATGATGATAGTACCGATAATTAAAATAATGATGCTGATGGTTCTGACTGGTGATGGTGCTGAAGAACGGTAATGATGATGACGATGCTGTTGGTGAATGATGGTGATGATGAATGATGGTGATGATCACGTTGATGGTGACGGTAATGCTACTGATACCGATGGGGGCCGAGGAGTCGAGGATGAGGGAGGAGAGCGAGGAGGGCGAGGAGGGCCGCGCTGGAGGGAGGAGAGCGAGGAGAGCAAGGAGGGCGCGGAGGGCGAGAAGGGCGAGAAGGGGCGGCATGCCAGGAGGGCGAGGAGGGCCGCGTGCTGGAGGGCTCCTACACGCGGCCAGGGCGTCGTCGAACTGCCCGAGCCTAGCGAGGAGCCACCAGGCGCTGCGGTCCTCGCGCCGACGGCCGCGGCCCGCCGACGCCACAGTCGAGTGGGTCACTAGATGCGAACGTATCCACATCCACGCTCTTCTCCTCCTCCTCCTCCTCCTCCTCCTCCTCCTGCTCATCATCATCATCATCATCATCATCATCATCATCATCATCATCATCATCATCATCATCATCATCATCACCACCATCACCATCACCGTCACCATCATCATCATCATCATCATCATCATCATCATCATCATCATCATCATCATCATCATCATCATCATCATCATCCTCATCCTCATTCTCATCATCATCACCATCACCATCACCATCGCCGTCAACATCATCACCATCATCATCATCATCCCCCTCCTCTCATCATCATCATCATCATCATCATCATCATCATCAGCATCAGCATCATCATCATCAGCATCATCAGCATCATCATCATCATCAT